AAAAAGGAGAAAAAAGATAAATAAGCTCCTAGCTTTTAGAAGAGGCCACATCATACATAGTGGTTTCTTCTTTAATATATATATAGATGTTTTTGCCAAATCATTCTACCTACTAAACGCTTAATGGGGAGCCTCACGTGTACAAAAAGTTTAATAAATATCATCAATAATGATTTTGAAAGTTGGTTCCTCAAAATTAGAATCACCTGAAAGTTGGTTTTCTATTTGGGGGTGTTTGGTTGGACATATTAAGAAATAATGAATGTGAATGATAATGAAAAATATTGTTTGGTTTAATATTAATACAATGGGTCCATCAAACCCATTAATTTCCATTCCTTACCAAATTGGAAGAATTGTAATTTTATTCCGCTTATTCCATCTCTCGATGTTGAATGGAACATATTTTCTATTTTCACGTTGGACATAACTTATTTTATTATTCATGTTGAAATATTTGTATTAAAAATATTATTTAATAATTTATAATTTATTATATTAGTTTAACCAAGCAGCATCAGCGTAATGTTCATTACTATTCCCATTCTCCTCTCCTGTATTTCCATTTCCATTTTCATATATATATTTTAAATGAACCGAACATGCCCTTAATGTAATTTTCCCTACAATAAAATTGTATCGAAGATATTTGTATTCAGAAGTGTAATAAGATAAAAGAGAATATTAGAGTAAATAATTAAATATATGAAGAAAATAAGATATTGTTTAACTGTATTGGATTAAATTAGTTTTATATAATAATAATGCAATTTCTTGTTGATCCGTCACTGAAAGTTTCCCTCGTTGATCCGTCGCTGAAAGATTCTCTCGCTCATCCGTCGTTGATATCATTGTGTACGAGCTTTTGATTGACGAACTATCAGCGACTGAAGACCTCTGTAGCAAGGATCAACGTGGAAATTTTTTCTCGCTGATACTCTTTAGAAATGATTATATGATATCAAATAATCAAAATCAGATGATTATTATAAGAAAAAGTCATGTAAGGAGATAAACTCCATAAAATAATTGATAAACTCGTAGAATAACAATTGGGTCATACTAATAAGGCACAATAATTTTTTAATTTCCGAATTTTTAAAAGAGGAACTACATCAACTCTTTATTTTTGGTTTACAATAAAATTTAATATTTCGTTATATTGTATGAGTACACACCTAGTACCTTTAAAACCATGATAGTGGATTGTTGTAGCCGATAACCTACATTTTATAACTAACAAACAATTTTAACTCTGAACCATTATGAAACGAGATGTAACGTTTAAAATATTAAACACATTAAAAGTAACGTATCTTTGACCCTTTTTTTAATCAACATATTTCCTCTATTTTAAGCAAAATACTTAATTTTTTGGGATGACGAAATTTCAAATACGAATTTATTTTACATAAAATGATAAAAATATATTGTTTAAAATAGACAAAAACTATAAATGTTTACCATCATAAGTAAATTTTTCGGTATATTACATAAAAATATAACTATTTTGATCTATTTTTATTTTGTATAAAAATTATTTAAACCTTCTTTTTAACATCCTTGATGGTGATATCTCAAACAATTAAACTAGAATACGTTATACAAAATAAGAATCAAAACAAAATACGTTATATGATCATAAATTATTATAAGTAAATCAGGTAGTTAAATGTTTAAAATGTTACATCTTATGATGCGAAAATTAATTTTGGAAGCAAATTACATAAAATATTTTATTCCAAAAAATATACATTTTTTGAATAAAAAATACATTTATTATGAAAAGATGGACACAATCCATATTAGTAATGCTGACAAATCACCGACTTGTTGAATCAAACACCAATAAATGTGGAAGTTGAAATTCTCCAAATATTCTGATTCTTTTTTATTTTTAAACACTCCACAACCACACCCTTTGAACATTTCTTACGTTTTCAATTTCCCAATTTTCTTTTTTTTTTTAAATGCATTTAATATTTTAAGCAGGCAAATTATATAATTCGTAATTACATTTTGAGATATGTATTTTATGCAGTTAAAAAATAATATAAAAAGAAAAAAAACATGTTATAATTTTGTAAAAATATGTTTATTCATAAAAAGTAGAAAGTAGAAACAAAAGTGGGGCAATTTATAAGGTGGTTATAAAAATTCAAAATCGAAACAAACTTCGTAAAATTGAGTTTAAAATTATCTGTGCATTTTATTAGGACGTTTAAGTGGAGTTTGTTTGTAAGAGGTGTTGAAGTCTGAAGTGTTATTTCACTTCTGATTTATAAGAGGTGGTGTTGACGTCTGAAATCCAAGTCAATAAGACTGTTTGTTTTTGTAAATTGATAAACGTTTGAATTTGTTTAATTTACCCATTAAGAATTATATTGTTGAATTTATAAATAAAATTTATGCAATTTCATATATTTATTCATCATCATTACGAAATTTACATGTAAATTATATAATTAACATTCATTTAAACGAAAATATGTGATTAACGTATTTAACACATTTAATTCCTATTAAAATATATCAATTGAGATACCTGAGGATTGATTTGGTGAGGGTTGACTGAGAGAAATGATCGATTAAGGCCAATCGATTGAGAAATGTCGTTGTTGAAGGTTTGAAGAACAATAAGAGGCAAATAAGAGGTTAGTCTACCTTTTACCAGATAAGAGGACAATAAAATATCAGTACCTCTGACAAATTGAAAAAAAAAACAAATGGTCCGAATAGCCTTACCTCTTAACGAATCAGACATAAAAGACTAATAAAAGTTTTTTTTATAAAGAAAAAACAAACAAGGCCTTAATTTTTTTTGACATCTTATAAATTCAATTTTAATATACTGATAGTTGAACGTGAATATTTTTTTTTTATAAAAAAAGCATATTTGAAACAACCATACTAATTGCATGAAAAGGTAAAGGGTTGTAACATAAATATTACTGATCATTCGTCATTAATTTTAAATTAAAAAACTTATTCAAATTACGAGCTTTACAAATGTAATCGTAATGAAGGTAGTTGAAGGTAATTGTAGGAGTTTGAAGATTTTTCACAAGATTAAACTTTCTAGCAACAATAGTTTTTTGGTAGGCATGATGATTTATCCTGACCCGTTTGGGAAACCCGGTTAACCCGCCTCGACCGTGTTCGGGCATTCTCGCTAAACCAAGTCTTAGGTTTGGGGTCAAGGATCCACAAATGTTCAAAACCGGTCCTTAGGACGGGGCAGGGTAATGCAATCCCCAACCTTTGTCGTCCCCGCCCCCTGTACATATTATATTAATATTTTATATATTGTAAAAAATATTAAAACCTAGTTATGTAACATGCTAAATTGCTAATATCCAATAATTCCAAATGTAAATTAGATTAGTTCCTACTTCCTACATCCATTCACGTCGGTCTTAATCGTTCAAAATTAATAACCATTGAGATATAAGTCTGCAACTCTATGTTGGTCCCGTTAGGGTCTACAAGATGTGTACAACAGTTTGTAGAAGGGGGGAGGGGTGAATACAAACACATAAACTTTTCAAATTTAAAATATATATTGATAAAAAATGATCAATACAAATTTTACAAGATTGTTTGCGGAAAAATAAGGTAAGAAAAATCTATCTAAACAATCTAAAGTTTACACACTAAATTTTAGCAAATAAAGAAAAGATTTGTTGTTAAAGAAATAGAAGTAAGTTCTATTTAGGAGAGAATTTGTTTATTATACAATAAAAGAGATTCTAACTTGCTCTTGAAGATGAGCGTATTTGTTCTTAGATGTGTGTGTTCTTTTACTTAAGCATAAGAAAGCTCAGAGTAAGGGTTAAGAGTTTATATCTTTGCATGGAGATAGAACACATCTATTTATATCCATTGCAATAAATGCACATTTAATGCAATGTAGTAGGGTTAGAACGCGTGTCAAGCCTTAAGGGGAAGACTTGTTCTTTGCTACAATGAATAGTACAAAAGTCTATACATGAGCAGACATCCTTTCACAAAGTTGGTGGGTAATAAAGTCAACTAGTCGGCTCCGTACCGTACCGTACTAACTCTTAGAAAAGGTATAGTCACAAATCTTGATCGATCAAAGCCACACTCTTGAACCAGTCAAAACAACAATTCTTGACCAATTTTGACTATATGAATGGTTAGGATCACTTCTTTACTTCTCAAATGAACCTTGAGGGGGTTTTACTTGACAATATATGAAGGATTCTCACACATTTCACATTTCACATTTTTAAACAAGTATACCTTTTGGAGGACTTCATTGAATAATCTACATTTAACAAAGAGCACATAACCAACTTTCTGTAAAGTAAAAGCAATGAAAATGCAAAATACACATGAATACCAAAATCAAGGATTACATATGAATAGCTAATTATCACTATCAATCTTATTCTTTGAACAATTTCATGAATCATGATTAATGTGTTGACAAGTTCTACAAAGCCTCATGTCATTGCAGGGGTGGACCACAAGCTTTCTAACCGTAGGGGCCGGAACTAGTATATTATATATTTCAAAGGTACCAAAAATACATTATCCAAAGTCATAACATAGTAAAACTATAAAACTAAACGTTAAATATAAACATATCAAACATCGCAAATCAAAGTGGAACCCGTCTATCTTTCGCGACCTTGAACTCTTCCACAATTTCCTTCAAACTAATCTTTTCAGCTAGTTCCCTTTCGATGAACAAAAGTAACGAGTCATTTAGAAACTCATCATCCATTTTATTCCGTATTCTTGTTTTCACAATATTCATTGCTGAAAACAATCTCTCGGTTGTCGCGGTAGAAACTGGAAGAGTAAGTAATAGACTTATTAATCGATAAATAAGATCAA